CATGTTACTTGTTGTGGGGGAATATCATTATGCTTGGATCCTCAAGTAATGCTTTAGAAGTTTCATCTTAAATTCCTTAGTTTATATTCTTTTGATAGGATTCAAGATTTATTGAATACCAGAATATCAATTAAACTTGGAGATTTGGGACATTTTGGACTTGAAAGGTTGTCCAAAGAATATCCCTAGAGCAACACCATGAAAAAGTTCTCCAACAAGTTTTGGCGTAACTTGCAGGATGTCTAAATCATTAAATACAGATTCCATGATGGAAATGCTAGAGACTAAATGCAGTGGTATCTAATTTGCGTGATCCATAAAAGGCTATGATAAACACCCATGTTTTATTGCATAGAAGCATCATGTTTTGACAATTGTTTTTGAACCCATTTTAATTTACAAAAGGTGAAGAGAGAGAGAGAGAGAGAGAGAGAGAGAGAGAGAAAGAAGTCTTCTTTCACATGGTAAAACAAAAAGATTCATATTTACGTTTTTACTAACTCAATCATTGACCAATTCTGGTTATTTGGACAAACAATTGAAAATGCTTTTCTTCTCTTGCAGGTGAGAACAAGCCCTTGTCAGTGTGAATTCGCCCAGTACTGTGATTCTAAAAGATAGGACTGGTCTATGTCAATTAAAATGGAAACTGCAAATCAACACTCAGGTCCCTTGTATGCTGGCTGGGTGAGAGTTAAACCTTGCCAATCTAAACTTCTCCAGTGATATTGTTTCATAGAGATAAGAGGACTTGGGACTGGCTCTATTAGGACCCAAGCCGAGGCTGCCATTACAAATGAAATTTTTGACATTCAAAGGTAATTATAATCAGAACTTTTTAAGAGTTATTCTAGATTTCTAGGAGTTTAATCCTTGGGAAAGATATGAACAAAAAAAAAAACGTACTGTTCACCAAATTTTCTGACAGACTGAACATAGCTTGCATACTGGTGAGAAGACAGGAGATGGAAATTAGGGCTACGAAAAATAGCTGTACCTAAAGACTTCCCATTATTAAGTGAGAAAAAGTGTCCTAACAACAACAAAAAGTAGAAATTACTATTTTATTATCATTTTGTGTAATTGCATACCTCTCAAGTTTCCTTTTATAGCCGAGATAACATCTGGCTGGCTTTGCCCTGAATTACTCCAACTTTTCCTGTTAGGTCTTAGGAGCAACTGTCAGGATCATCTAAGCTTAACCGGAATGATGACATAAGAAAGCACAAATTAAAGGGGAAAAAAAAGGGGATAAAAATGAAGCTAGCAACACAGAGAATGATGCTAGCTAGCTAACAAGCCTTGATGATAGGAGTGATTAGGTGTTAAGAAACTGCATAAACAGATGTTTGGTAGTATCAAATGACACCGGGAGTTCCCCCAAACACTTCAGTAGGGTAAATAATACTTCAAAAATGTCCCCAGTGAAGTGTTCAGGGGAACTCTAGGGGACACCTGATTCATCGACTATTGCTCTCTGTGAGAGGCTTTCACTGGTCTTGGTCTGCAAATGGTTACTTGCCCTCATATATATAGCGACTTGTTCCCGAACACTCCAAAATACAAACAAATCAATGAAAATGAAGCTTTTAAGGAGTGAACCTAGACACACTTCTGTGCTAGAGGGAAGGGAAGGGACGGGATGGGATAATGGAAAAATGAGTGGCCTTCTTCCATTCCATGTTACCTCATTCCATTTTCATCTCTATCCAGCATTTCCTTTTCAGCTTTTGGCAATTGTGCACGGGAATCTTAATCGGATTGTGGTTTATGGTGCTTCCTATCGGATGGAAGGCCTTTTTTTCTCTTTTTTGAGAAGATATCTGATGTAAATTCTAGTAACTAGTCTCTGAAAGTTGCTTAAGGAGGCAAGCATTAGGGTTGCCTGCCTTCTTTTTCTTCTCCTCCTGTTTACCATACCCTTACAAATTTAACAACAATCTGCTTTATTAATAGAAGTTACTTACTAATTGTAGTTTTTTTGATTTGTTCATGTAACATAAGCTGTCTTTCATAATTTCATTTACTTTTCTATTTTAACTTTTAGACACAATTTAAGAAAACAAGAATCTGCTTTATTAATAGAAGCTACTTACTAATTGTAGTTTTTTTATTTGTTCCTAAAGTAGAGGCCATCTTTCATCATTAACTTTTCTATCATTACTTCAGTTTTTAGACAAATTTAAGAAAACAAGAGTCTGCTTTATTAATAGAAGTTACTAATTGTAGGTATTTTTTATTTGTTCCTTTAGCAGAAACCATCTTTCATTTACTTTTCTATCATAATAACTTTAGTTTTTAGACTCAAATTTAAGAAAACAAGAATCTGCTTTGTTAGTAGAGGTTACTTACTAGTTCTAGTCTTTTTGATTTGTTTCTGTAACAGAAACTGTCTTTCATTTACTTTTCTATCATAACTCTAGTTTTTATGAACAAATAATGTTTTGAGTAACCATCTACTTGTTTGTGCTATTGATCAAGTAATGTGTATGATCAAGCTAACAGTTTTTTTATGACCATGTGCCTAAGACTTCTAGACAGAGATTCTGTAGATACAAAATAGACTGATGGAAGGCGACCATTCAGTACAGAAATCCTTTCTCCACATAACCTTAGTAAGATGCTTTCAGTTCTCTTTATATTTCCCAGAATTCAGACTAGGTTCACTGGTAAAACTGGTGCATGGCAGTCAATACTTTGTTTAGCTGTGGTCCAATTCATCCAGCTTCCAGCAGCATTTCCGTGGTGTCTTGATGCACTAGACTCCGAATGGGTATTTTTACCATCCAAGTGATTTGCTAACGTGAATGTCATGTGATGGGAAGAGGAATAAGATGCAGTTGTGGATGTGATAATTCTAAGACATAAAATGAAGTCAAGGAGAATTGTTCTTTTATTCGCCTTTTTACTCGTGGAAGTGGTAGATTTGACGAACGGGCCATAAGAGTATTTTGTTTCCTCAAATTACGTCTTCCTTTGGCTTTACAGATACAATTTTTACACTACAGTCTTAAGCCATTTAAGCATAATATATAACATTGATTCAAGCTGCAATACCCCTCCCACAGACTTCCTACATGTTTAAAAGAAAATTGATTCAACCTCACGAAAGAGGCAATCACATACTCATGCAATTTTAATAACCGCCATCACAAATATTAGAAAATTGTGACGGGAGCTCAAGTCAGCCATTATACCAATATATAGAGACTACTCCAAGGCATAGACGGATATTCTGAACATGGGAATGTGAACTTAAAGCTTGTGAACTACAAGCACAATGCATATGCAATAACAACTTTGACGAACTTGCCTATCCAGCAACTGGGACTAAGGAGTAAGGAATGGAGATTTGAACCTCAAACATCTCCCTCTCCAGGGATGAAGAACAATCGACAATTGCTAAATGACAAATAATTGCTCTTTTGTTATCTCCTACTCTGTTCACATGGTCCTGCTTCAGGCCTGATATTCTACCTCTGATTACTACTGACAATGTATCTAGCTACTAGAGTATCACTATAAATAACAACATTACAATTTTTAAGCTGTACCCAACTTATGCAGGCAGATATTTAAATGGCTTGACATTACATAAATTTAGTCAATAAGGAGATTTGGCTAGCATCTAGTCTGCAGTTGAAACTGGCACTTGAAGTTAACTGTACCCTTCTCATTAAATGCAACGAATGCCTTCTTATCTGGATACTAGACCGCAATATCCCCTGCAAAGCGTATTCACAAATCACCATCAGGAAAAAAAAGGGACAATAATTTTATGTAAACGACATAATCTATCTACATAAAAATCAGGTATAAACACATTAAAATATGTGATGCAGATGGGGTCTTCTTAGAAGTCTTGACATGCTAAGAGACCGGGACGGGTTAAAATTCCAAGTGTAGCCACTTCAGCAAAAGGCTATAAGTAGGATTGACTCCAACTCACATTTCCTAGGACCCACAGTAATGGAGTATGACTAGCTAAGACTTGCTACCCTTTTCCAGGCTAGGTACTAGCTCAGACCTAATAAAAAGTGAGTAACCTTTTCACACAATCGATCTGCCTAGGACCATCCTTTTTGCAACGCAGTAAAAGACCTGGTAGAGCTTTGTTTATGCTGTATGGGGAACAAGAAGCATGATAACATTGATGAGGCTAACGAAAATCTCGTCCATCTTAGCTAGTGACTTCTCCTGAGAAACCTTTTTCAAGGGAATTACGATTTTCTATTATGTTATGGCCCTTTGAATTTCATATTAACCATTTTCAGTGCCCTGCATGCTAGCTGATAACTGAAACAATCCTTATTTAAATAGTAAATATGACCTGTTATTTCTAGGTTTTAAGAGAATAAATTTCCATAATGCCAAAGAAAATGGAAGAAAAGACAATTAAACATTGAATTCCAAACAGAAAAGTCAATTAAGAGACCAATTTAAGCCTACCCAACAAGCATGTTTAGCAAAGAAGAGGTAACTTTAGGGATCTTACCATGCATGCATTTAATGAAGTAATCCAAATCAGGGAAACAAATTGTCCCCTGAGCCAAAGGAGATGGCTGTTGATACACAAAGAATGTGAAATAGCGGTGATCAGGGTCGTTTCTTGGCTTGGCCATCTCAACTATTCTCATATACCCTTCTCTGTCATAACATGAAAGTAGATTCTCACCAGCAACACTCAACCCCCGATCCCAGGCTGAATTGAGAACCTGTAAAGTCAAAGACCCTCAAAACCAATATTCTTTGGAACTCACAATGTACTCACTACTAACCAAAGGTCAGTAAGTAACAAACAAGAGAGCCCCTATACATAGCTTATTAGGAGTTGTAGGCGAAGAGCCAGGAGAAATAAGAAAGTGCCATGACCTGACCTGCCAATTTAAACCTTCTGGATCTGCAAATCCTTCATCACTGTCATAACTTGAAACCTGCAAACCGGAGCACATGAATTTCATTGTCACTGAATGTTTCTTCAGAGCCTCAAAAACCGGAGAATAACCATCCTGGTTTGTTGGGTTATAATATCCAGACGTTAACTCTGCCGCATGACTGGCAGTCTTATACCACCAAAAGACAGCAGGAACCTGCATATCAGCATCAGTCATTCATCCTTTTTCATTTCTAATATATAATATCTTGCAATTTCTAATAAGATAGTTTGAAGAACCACCTCCACAACCAAAACCTTCATTTGATTCCAGTCAACATTCAAGACCAAAGGTTATTAAAAAAAAATGAGGAAACAAATGCACTCAAGCATCAAATAAACCATATATTGTTTGTCAGAGTTTAATACCTAATCTAATATTTTCCATCTTCAATATTTTGGGATTTATTCAAGTAAAAACTAACAGAACCTCAATACACCTAATTGGTTAAATAATCTTGACTGAATTCTAGATGGTATCCTGGTTGGCATAATAATGGTCAGAACCATGTAAATCATAGGACCCTGCACCATACTAGAGGGGAGTAGAGTAAAATATGAATATAATTTTTTTCCTCTGTAACTCGTTTGGAAGTGAATAGCACATGTTGCAAAAATGCAGGCAAGCCAGTGTACGTTTGGGGGTGGGGAAATTGTGGGTGTTGATGTTGGGGAGTAGGGGTAGAGTATATTTCCTTGAGGAAGAATCTACTTTAGACATGGCAATGTGTTTCTGACTGTCTGAGGCTCCAAGCAGCAAGCTGTGCAGATGATGGCACAATGCAGTGCTGGTGGCAAATGCTAGAAGCAAACAAGGCAAAGAAAAAGGGTCGAAGATGCTAAAATTAATTAAGAAATAGACCCTACACTGGCAAATTGCACTGTACAAAAACTAATAGTAACTGCCAGATCATGAAGATGAAGAATATAGTTAAACCTAAACCTATTCTGATAAGGGTTCCAACCATACACCAGAAACCTACCTTGATGATAATCTTGGTGTCCTCAAAAGCAAGACTTGCGAGAGACAAAACATTATCAGCATGGTCTATCAACGATTGGGCATACCAACTGAGGAAAAAGCGGCCATAGTAGCTATCATAATCACCTCGTTCACAAAAGAAGCCAGTTTCCTGTGGCCGAGAATTATAATGACCAGCATTATCAGGTCCCCTAGCCCAGAATGAATGGCCACGCAATTTAGCAGCTTTCCGTAAACTTTGTTGCAAATATTTGTCATAACACTGCATAGATGAGGTAAACATCAGTAGCAGCTAAACTGGTCATAAACTTGCAAAACCCAGGTATTAGATTTTAACTGATACCTGAAACTCACCAATGCCAGGATACCTCCATCCCATCCTCTCCGAGAAAGAGGGATACTTCAGTTCTCCAAATGGTCCAAGCCCAATCTCCACAGCAGAAATAAGGCCTTCTGCAAACAAGTGATCAAACTCTGTACGGAAGCTTCTCATTAAATCGAAATAAACCTGCAAATAATTGAAAAATGATAATGAGCTGCAAGCATTCAGTATCCAAGGTTATAAGCTAGAGTTGATTGAAAAAGTAGGCTGCATGCATATAAAGAGCAATGTGATGACGTCAATTTGGATATTATTCCCCCACCCGCGAGAGAGAGAGACAGAGCAGTCATTTTTGTCATCTACCCCCATCGAAAAATACATCCAATATATCACATATTCTCAGATTATAAATAGAAAAGAACTTTTAATATTATTAGAACCTCGATTCCAGTTCTTCCATTTAGAACTCGTTCTTTGTCAATACCCCAAGATAGACATTCAGTATTCCTCCTTCCTTCACGATCTGTGAAGAATATATCCTGGTTTTCTTTGCCAATCTCCAAAACCCATTGTGGTAGAGAGATCAGTGCATCACCAGAATCAGTTCCTCCATACTCATGAAATGCCATTACAACCTTCAAAATCAAAGAAGATAAATACATTTACTAATCATACAATGGATCTTGTCCATACAAAACAAAAACTGTTGGCAGAAAAACTCACAAATCACAAGCAGTCAGAAAACCTTGATTAACAACCAAGACAAAATGACATGCAAAAATACAATCATGGTAACAACATGAAATTATAGAAAGGCACCGTGCAAAACAGGACATTATTCAACAGAACTAGTAGGTCTCATATCAATCTTCAAGAAGATTGCATATTTAGTTTGGCCCTTGGGTTTAGCGCAAGGGCTGCTGGGAGAGTTGTGTTACCAGGAAAAATAACTTTTTGTTCCATTACAATTTAAAATACTAGGATATTTGATAGCATGAATCTTTGAAATTTTATGGGATCTGTGGTTTTAACTTTTACATGCAAACATCACTACAACTATAACAAGTCATAGAAAACCATCTCCAAGTTTAGATTCTACTCTTGGATAATGAAAATTAACTACAGCTTGTGCAAATATGTAAACCAATGCATACATGCAATACGTAAAATACACACACATGGACATCAGGCACATCAAACAAACCTGCAACTTCAGCTTGAACTCTCTGATAATGTTAAATAGATCTCTGTAGCCGGACCATACATACTTTTGTGGGTTCCATGCTTCAACAATTCCCCACCAACAATCTACAATGACTCCATCCACATTTAAGGACTTCATATGACTTAGCTCCTGTCTAACACCATCAGGATCAGCCAATTGGCAGAAGTTGTTAATGACACCAGTCTGCACAAGACATCAAACTTGTTAAACAACTAGAAAAGTAGTTAAAACTTAAGGTGAATTCCAATAAAGCCTGGCAGGAACGATGCAGCTAAGTGTAAGAAATCAGAATAGGAGTTACTCAAAACTCACTGCTAGCTTTACATAGACTGGAACATATTGAGTGCCAGTAAAATCATTCACATGATCTCCAGACTGAACATCTTGTATAAGCTGCAGTAATAAATAACTGAATTAGATTTTTTCTCACATTAGCAGAAATGAAACTGTGAACAGAGACTCGATATACTAATTAACCACACACTATAAGTCCAAAGAAGAGAACTAAAACTAAATAATGCATGGTGATCCTCTTGCATTTGAATCTCCAACCACATCTTTAACCCTTTGAGTACAATCATGTGATACTTATACCAATGCACCACTTACTCGGAACTCCTGAAGACCATAGGTTTTATAACTCAAGTAGTCGAAGGGTTAAGGCAACATCAATGCACTTATGCAAACTTATTAACAATAAGAAGTCACCCTACACATTACCATTTCCTATGTTTCCCAGTTAAGACAAAACTACTAGAAAAGATATTTAATAATTTTCAAAACCAGTTATAAGACTAACCTGATCTGCTTCCAAGCATTCAACAGAAGTGATGGGGCTAGCACTTGCATATTTTTCGCTCCTTGTATCCCTCTCAGCAATGACCACAGAATCAAGAGATGCTGGTGACAAACTTTCATCAATTCTAACAATTGAGGGCTGACCGTCTAATGCTGATTTGACAGAGCAATTCTTCAACGAACTACCCGAAAGTGGGCTTTCAACTGACCTTACAGTAAATGCTGCCTGTATGTTATCATCAATCCAAATGGTGTTGCATAAAACATACCACAACAACCAGAATGCAATCAGAATATACACTCGCAGAATAGAATATGCATGCTAATAACTAAGCTAAGAACCATGAATATTGAATACGAATCCCGTATTATCTTTGTCTTCAACTAATCTAAGAATTGCTCAACTCAACATCTTGCTGTCAACACACCACTAATTACATCAAATAGAAATCATCTCCTTATTAAACCAGAAAGTCGAGCAAAAAATTATAAAATTATAGCCAATGAAGTAATCAAAGAAAAGAGAACTGAGGAAACAAACCATCTGTTGGGGAGGAGGAGAGTGCCTATAGGTGGTGCCATCAGGGTCGACCGTCCATCCAGCCTCGCGAGCCAAGGCAGCGAGCACATCGTTCATGTCCGCACGCGCAGGGAGAGGGAAATTACCATATTGTCTGAGACCGGCCAGCATACGGCTAGTAATGGCACGGCGGTGTCGCTCTCTGAGCTTCGTCCTTTCCTTCTCCTTCTCCCTCTCTCTTTTCCCTTTGGCGGAGGCAGGTGCATTAGGTGAGGCCTCTGCAGCCGCAGCAGCGGCGGTGGCAGCAAATCCGCGAGGGCGTCGGGGTTGAGGCTGAATTGCGGGATCCTGGTTAGGGGTGGGAATTGAGGGATTGATGTTTGCATTAGAATTGGAGGAGGAATGAGGGTTCTGCATATTTTTCTGGTTTTGTTGTTTGGACTCAGCGCAAGGATTCAGAATTTCACGATCTTATGCGGAATTCTAGTCCTATTGCTATGTTTCAGTTACGAGGTATTGTGCTGCCATTGTATTAGTTTAGTGTAAGAGTTTTTTGGTTTATTGTTTAGACAGGTAAAACAAGCATTGTTGGACTGCACAAGTAGTGAACTCATGTTTTAGTTGCTATGATTAAATGTGTGTTTTACGTTGTTATGATAATCTTAACAGTTTGGCAAGGAATTTAAGTAATTTCATGATAAATTTTTTATTAAAAATTAAAAAATTATAAGTTTCAATACAGCAAATGAAATACAAGTGAGATGAGATGAAATAAGTAAAATGAGATAAGAGATGAAAATTTTTTTTGTTATTATATAACAAAAATTAAAAAAATAATTATTTAACAGTCTATACTATATATCGCTTTTTAAAATTAATTTAATTAATAAATGTTTCCCGTTTTTAGAAAAATTAAAATAAAATGTAGCTTACATTTAAATGAAAAATAAAAGGGAAATGACTTTTGTATGTTCTTTTTGTCTTTTTTTTTTTTAATAATTTGAGGTATCATTAAAATAATTAATTTTTTAATTTAGATGAGACCCACAATATTAAATACATCCACTCATTTAATAGTATTTAATAGTATGTGTAAGTTGTATAAAAAATTAAAATAAAAAAATTATTTTTATAGCACCACCCAAAATAAAATATCTTACAATTTAAATATCAAAATTATGTTTGTGCTATATGTTAATAAATATTTTGTTAGTATTAATTTATTAAAAATATTTAAACCTTCTAATTATTATTTAGAGATCCTGATTTTCCACTCTATACAAGAAAAACTCAATT